CAAGAACTGGATGATGCAGTTCTCAGGAGATTGGTATGTAAACTTAATGGTTCTCTGTTTTGTTTTTTTGTTTTTAATGAGAAACCAAGTCGTCATTGAGAAAAAAAATGGCGTAAAAAAGAGTTAAACCAGAGGAGTCCTATCAAATAAGGGGACTCCACTCCAAAAGAATCAAACCAAGATGATAATTACAAAAGTCCCGAGTAATAGAATCCCACAAAGAAGTATTTAATATAAGGGTATCCTAGACTTCTTTCCAAGAACTATCAATTGAAGTAAATAGATCCCATGTATGTTGTTTTTATCGTAGGCTGCCCCAAGGCTGGGTTTATTAGTGGTCAAAACGCCCTGATATTTGCCCATGAGATCAAAGTTTTGAGATCACAGATGAGTTATGTGACTATTTAAGTTAATGATCATAATATAGTCTGTACTCAGTTTTGAATTCTGAGTAGATGGAAATGTTAAAGAGTTTTTAGTTCTACAAAAATCATTATTACACACTGATTAAAAATATTTTTGAAGATGAGCAAGAACATGTCAATATGAAAATGCTCTCTCTTTTTCTCATTCGCACACTCTCATGTGGGCATGCATATTTGGTTAGTGCGACGAACATAGCTATTACATTAGCCAAACACAACATCCTTTATGGAGTTTACTTCACTAAATGCTTTCTATGTAGTCAATAGTACTACTACTACTAATAATAATAATACAGGTGAAGAGAATTTACATTCCCTTGCCAGATGGAAACGGTAGAAGACTTCTTCTCAAGCACAAGCTCAAGGGACAGTCATTTTCTCTACCAAGTAAGAATGAGGTTTTAGTGAAGTTCCCGTGAGATATTCCCTTAAAAAATTTACTACTTTATTGTAAATATTTTATGTTCTCTAACACCACCGCCTGCCCTTCTCTTCTCTTTTCACGAAAATGTGTATATATCACTAAAAAAAAGTTATTTGATTCCATAAACATTGTAAAGTCTGCTAAGTGGCTGAAGGAAGTTGTAAACTTTTATGTAAGTTTATGAGTTGAAATTATGGTAGTGAGTAGTGACTTACCAAATATTAAATATTCAATAGTTTTAACTCTTTATTGTAAGGCAATAGGGTGATGGTCCTATGGGATTGGTCAGTTTGCATGTTAGCTAATGGTTATGACTGTGAACTTCAAATACCTCTCTCCGCCCGGTTAACAGTACCACAAGCCCATACCTATTGACTATTTCATAATTGTCATCTATGTTCATCCAAATTCAGCCTTTTACTGTAATTAATACTTCCAAGCGATTTTTGTTCAACAATCGTGGGGTGGGGATTGAACCATCAACTTTTAGAATGGTAATTGGTAACTTATTCAATGAGCTATGCTCGGAAGGACAATACTTTTGAGATCTGATTGATTAATTTAGTGTGCTATTTAGAATTGTATGTCATGTTCTGATCAATTGCTTATATTGCATTGTCGATCATGCTTTCATTTTCTAATGGAATGTGTTCTTCCGCTCTATATGTTTATCCCTTCTGCCAAACCTTTATATATATATATATTTTTTGCTAATTTACTTTGATTAACATACATACCTCATTTTCCTTAACAGGTAGAGATCTAGAGAGACTAGTTACACAGACTGAAGGTACTATACTTCTTTCCCTAAATTTTGTAACCTTTCAGTACTTCACTAGTCGAGAAATCTGCGTGACTTTAAGAACAGCGTGGACGGAGTCTTTGTGCACGTGGGAAACATTCAGAGCTATTTACTTTTAAATAAGAAACCAAACTTCTATTAAGAATAAGAACACAGACGTTAGAAGTTAGAACTAGAATGGCCATGCTGAAATCCGGAAATGTTAAACAAAAGTTTTTCCCTTGCATCTCGGTCACTTTTACTTTTTCGGGTATCAAAACAAAAGGAAGTATTTGTTCCGAGTATCTGACTGGATTTAGCAGAACAAATAAGGAACATTTGCAAGTAGGAACTCTCATGGTTAGTGATCAAGAACATGGTTACATAGGAATGCCCTGAAAAAAGCTAGAAACAGACGCCACACTCGGAGTTTCCTCCCTCTTAAACTCGTATCCTGGAAAACCTTTTGAGTTCTCTTACCAGGTTCTTCACATAATAGATAAAACCCCATCCCGTTGGAGAGTGAATCTTAACGACTTGGATCTCGAGCCAAAAAAAAAAAAAAAAATCTCATGGTATTATTTACATGTACAGGATACTCTGGAAGTGATCTACAGGCCTTGTGCGAGGAAGCTGCAATGATGCCAATTAGGGAGCTAGGTGGGAACATTCTCACAGTAAAGGCAGATCAGGTGACTAACATAAAAACTGTTATACTTTTGAACTCTGTGAACTGGCCCGACACTCACTGATACTAATAAAAAGAACTCTGAAGTTGACTTGTTAATCAGATAATCTTATCTGTTACGGTGTAATATCATGCAAAAACTGTCTAATTCCCTTAGATTGACTATATAGAAGCAGATGAGTAGTAGTGTGCGTTTTATAGTAGCTTGTTCGGAGAGACTCGTGCATTTTGAACTGCCTGAAACTTGTCTCATTTCCTCTCATTTTGCGCATTCGAGTCATTAAACTTCGATTATCATATCATAATCTTACCTGTTACAGGGTAATATCATGCATTAGAGTGATTAAATAGAATGAGATAAGAAGTGTGCGTTTTATAGTAGCTTGTTCGGAGAGACTCGTGCATTTTGAACTGCCTGAAACTTGTCTCATTTCCTCTCATTTTGCGCATTCGAGTCATTAAACTTCGATTATCATATCATAATCTTACCTGTTACAGGGTAATATCATGCATTAGAGTGATTAAATAGAATGAGATAAGAAGTGTGCGTTTTATAGTAGCTTGTTCGGAGAGACTTGGGCATTTTGAACTGCCTGAGACTTGTCTCCTTTCCTCTCATTTTGCGCATTCGAGATCATTAAAATTCAATTATCATATCATAATCTTACCTGTTACAGGGTAATATCATGCATTAGAGTGATTACATAGAATGAGATAAGAAGTGTGCGTTTTATAGTAGCTTGTTCGGAGAGACTCGTGCATTTTGAACTGCCTGAGACTTGTCTCATTTCCTCTCATTTTGCGCATTCGAGTCATTAAACTTCGATAATCATATCGTAATCTTACCTGTTACAGGGTAATATCATGCATTAGAGTGATTATATAGAAGCAGATTAGTAGTATGCGTTTTATAGTAGCTTGTTCGGAGAGACTTGGACATTTTGAACTTGCCTGAGACTTGTATCCTTTCATTTTGCACATTCGAGATCATTAAACTTCGATTATCATATCATAATCTTAGCTCTAATACAGGGTAATCTCATGCAAGCATTGTGTCTAAATCTGAAAATTTATATCTTTTGTGCACCAGATAAGATCATTGAAGTACGAAGATTTCCAGGAGGCAATGAAAGTGATCAGGCCCAGTCTAAACAAAAGCAGGTGGCAGGAGCTTGAACAATGGAACCAAAGTTTTGGATCCAATTAGACAATGAAGAAATATTCAGTGTATGTTAGAGGCAGCTGTTGTTGTGAAGTAAACACTGGAATGCCTTAACCTTCAAACAAACTTCTAAATAGCTCGATTCTTTGTTTTCTTGTTTAGTGAATTAATTAAAAAATAATTACGAAATATATTGATATGGAAATTAACCCAAGGGAAAGTATGGAACGGATTACTTTGTTGATCTAATATCTCAAGACAAGAACATAGTTTGAGATTCGAATCACTCCACAAGCAAGATCGATCATGTCTAAGCTTAAATGATTCTTGTCGATCGAATATCTCAACGGAAGAACACTTGTTTGAGATTCAAATTACTCCACAAGCAAGATTGATCATGTCGAGTTTGAATGATTCTACAGGCTTTATGGCTTTATATAGCCACAAAATGAAACTATTAAAGACATACCAGAATGTTAACATTCAAGGACCATAAATAAAAAGTCTTAAAATACATTAATGAAATGCAACAACTTTAAATTACAATAATTTGTAATTCACCCAAAATTTATAACATGAAATTTCATCCTTCTCCAACATGAATTGAAATATCTTTGGATAATTTCAACAATATTTTTTTCACATTTTCATTGAAGCATATTGTATGATTGATGTCTCTTGGTTTATATCATATATTTTAAGTTTAAGATATTTAATATAATATTTCATATCATTTTTATTTAATTAAGTATGAATTCTTCGGCGCTTCCGATAACATTTATTATTATTATTATCATTTTACTTAAATAATAACAATTTTTAAAATTTTCGATTATTATTATTATTATTATTTAATTATTATCTCTTCCATTAATATATTTATTCATGAAATATTTTTTTAGTTCAACATATATATTTGATGAAATATATTTATAATATTATCAAATTATTAACTTTTAAACTTGCCCATGTTGATGTTTTATTTATCTTTTTAAAAAATAAATTTAAAGGGTAATTATTAATTTTATTTTTAAAACAACTATTTCCACTTTTTTTTTTTTTTATGTGAATCAACTTAATAACTTTTTTATTTTTTATTTTATTTGAATATCTAACTAAAAGTAATGACAATAACTACTATTGAACCCAAAGGGGTCAATAAATATTTTTTTTACATATAAATGAGATTTTATATTAAATATTTTACTGCAATCCAATTTTAGTTATACAATTAAAATAGATTTTAAAAATATTAAAAATTAAAATGAACAGAGTTAATAAGCATATTATGAAAAGGATATTTTGAAATTAAAAAAAAAAGAAAGATTTTTTTAGCACGCCACCATTAAATTTAATGGTTAAAGATAAATAAAGTTTAAAAAATGTTTTAATGTTTTAATTTTTATTTATTAAAAATAATAATAATAGTGCGGGCTCGCACTAACAATATGGAGCCAAGGATTTTGGTTCAAAATAATGAAGGTAGGAGGGAACGGAGGATGAAACGGTGCGTTTAAGAGGGTTCGACGGGCATAGGAATTCAAATTCATTCCGTTCGAATTTTCGTCCAACGTCCCCAGTTCCCTCGCTTTGCTGTGTTCTCACAGTTGCGAATCGATGAAAAAATCTCTGATGAAGGAAGAGAATGGAACTCCAAAGCGGCAATGGTCCTTGCAAGACTTCGATGTAGGAAAGCCCCTTGGCAAAGGAAAATTCGGCAGAGTCTATCTAGCAAGAGAAGTCAAGGTTCGTTTTCTGTTTGATTCTTCTTGAAATGTTCTACAGTTTTTTTTGGTGATTCTAGATCTTTAGACCTTCGGTTCTTTGTTTGATTTTTGAATGACTATATTTTGTTCTGGTTTACTCTATAGCTGCTAAATCTGAACGGAATTTCGTCATTTTGCGACTGCATGTGGATTTTGCCGGATAGAAGTGATATGATATGATTTTGCATTTTCTCTTCTTTATTCTGGCGAATCAAGCAGAGATTGCTAAGTCTCTTTTTCTGGAAATTATTATAGCTACTCAGTGCTATCAATTCTCGATGACCGAACAGTTTGATTTTCATTCATTTTACTTTACACAGAATAGCGATAGTGTACGATTTATCGTATAAACACAACTTTTAATCTCTGCAGTCCATTTTGCATTAAAATAAACATGAATTTCTTTAGTATTTTTTTTCTTTTTTCCAAACTTGAGATTGCATATCTAGATTTTGGTTTGACCTTAGGAGCTCCGATTTGATTTTCAGAGCAAGTATATAGTGGCACTGAAGGTAATTTTCAAGGAGCAGATGGAGAAGTACAGGATTCATCATCAGTTGAGGAGAGAGATGGAGATCCAAACCAGTCTTCGGCACCCCAACATCCTGCGCCTCTATGGATGGTTTCATGATGCTGAACGTATTTTCTTGATATTGGAATACGCTCACCGCGGTGAGCTTTATAGGGAGCTTAGGAAAAGTGGTCATCTCAGCGAGCAGCAAGCTGCCACCGTAATATTCCATTCTCTCTATCGTTGTGAACTTGTTACTTTGAACTGAAGATGCTGAAGTAAAATATACTAGAAGATTGAGCCAGAAACAAAAATTCATGAAATTGTCTCAAAAACAACTTAAACCTAGTCCTTATATATCGTTATCTGAAGGTTATTTATGTTTGTTTCTTGTGAATTTCAGTACATTTTAAGTCTCACACAAGCATTGGCATACTGCCATGAGAAGCATGTGATTCACAGGGATATTAAGCCAGAAAATTTGCTGCTTGATCATGAGGTATAAATTCTCCTCTTTTTGTCATTCCACAGCTTAGAAAATGTTTCTTCGCATGATTTTTTCAAAACCTTAGTAAAACCCTCGTTTTATCCTGGAGGTAGAATCCAGATTTCACTGCACTTTGTAGATCATAGAGAAAGAAAATATTATATGCTTTTCTGCGTGTATAATCATGTTGTATTTGTAGGGCCGGCTGAAAATTGCAGATTTTGGATGGTCTGTACAGTCGAGAAGCAAGAGACATACCATGTGTGGAACTCTGGATTATTTAGCCCCAGAAATGGTGGAGAATAAAGCTCACGACTATGCAGTAGATAATTGGACTTTGGGCATTCTCTGCTATGAGTTCCTTTATGGAGTGCCTCCATTTGAAGCTGAAAGTCAAAGCGACACGTTTAAAAGGTTAGACATATAATTTGCAAAAGGAACACGGACTTAAGATCCTTATCTTCATTAAAGAGTGGCTACTGCTTACTTTCTCATGTCGTTCATTTTTATTAGGATACTTATATATAACACATTAGCATTGGTTAAAATGTTCGGGTGTAAATTTAATCCTTAGCGGCTTTCATCATTCACGAACACCTGCACTAATAAGACAAAGAAGTGGGTGGGGATCTATGCCTTCCTTGAATGAATCAGTAACAACTCATTAGTGTAACGAGGGAGAAATAAACGGATAGGATGGAAATGACCTATCAATCATTGGTGGACCTTCCGTTTATAATTGGTCACAGAGCTCTCAACTAAGTTGTTTCTAGATTTCATCCAATAGATTAAATAAATTCTACTCAAAATTTTTAAGGTTAAAATGTTCTAGTGTAAATTTAATCCTTAGCGGCTTTCATCATTGACGAACACCTGCACTAATAAAACAATGAAGTGGGTGGGGATCTATGCCTTCCTTGAATGAATTAGTAACAACTCATTAGTGTAACGAGGGAGAAATAAATGGATAGGGTGGGAATGTCCTATCAAGCATTGGTGGACCTTCCGTTTATAATTGGTCACGGAGCTCTCAACTAAGTTGTTTAGGTTCTAGAATTTCATCTAATAGGGTTTCAGCTCGAAGGTTAGAAAATGTATGTAGTATGGGTTAATCTCTCAACCAGAACTTGGAGAACTTCGAATAAATAACTCAATTTTTAGAAAAGGTAAGAATGCGATTTATAAAAAATACGAGAAAGTGTTACATTTTATTTTTTCTCGAGATTATAAATAGTTGTTTGGGCCTGTGTCATATATGCAGGATAATGAAGGTCGACTTGAATTTTCCCTCGACCCCTCACGTTTCTTCCGAAGCAAAAGATCTAATTGGCCGGGTTAGTTAACCTTGTGAATGTCTTTATTTGGTAGGAGTAGGAATGACATGCATACTTCTAGTATGGTTCTGATTATATGAAAATTTTACACAGCTCTTGGTGAAGGATTCCTCTAGAAGACTTTCACTTCAGAAGATAGTGGAGCATCCCTGGATAATCATGAATGCAGATCCATCTGGTATTTGCAGTAGCAGCAGGTAGAACATCTCTTCACTCTTAACTAATTTCTCTTGCTCATGCCTCTTCATATAAATGGGGTTTAGTGAATATCTGTGTGTAATCTCTATGTCATGTAGCATTCATGATTTAATCAAAATGTTGGGAAAAGTTGTTAGTCGCATTCTCACAGTGATACAGGCTTCCCTAGTGCGATTTCTAGAGGTTTCGAGTTCGAGATATGATAATCAATCTTAGCCAATCTCAATTGGTCTCGTCTTGATTAGATCTTACCAATAGAGTCGACCTCACAGGCTTCTCTAGTGCAATTTCTAGAGTTTCGAGTTCGAGATATGATGATCAGTCTTAGTCAATCTTAATTGGTCTCGTCTTGATTAGATCTTACCAATAGAGTTGACCTCACAGGCTTCTCTAGTGCGATTTCTAGAGGTTTCGAGTTCGAGATATGATGATCAATCTTAGTCAATCTCATTTGGTCTCGTCTTGATTAGATCTTACCAATGGAGTCGACCTCAATCTAATCTTAGTTGTTTAATTTGATGTCTCACATCTTTGAAGTATTTGGAAATGTAGAATATAAGAAAAACGAGCACATCTTTGTAATGAGTTGGATCAATTTGGGTTAATATATCCATAATTTAACGAAAACTTGAACTTTATATACGGCTACCAATGATAATGACTTCTAGATTTTATTCCACCATTTTTGCAATTTCAAGTTGAGTTTATAATTTCATTAATTTTTGTACGATAAGGACATTTGGCCAACTAATCCCAGCCAATCAAGAACAGTAAGGTGAAGTTTGTATATTGATATCTTCCATGCTTGCAGCTGATAGCTCCAAAAGCAAAACATATTATATATAAACCCATGTCCAAGCACCCCATCGTCGTAGCGACACTCTTCCAAACAGGAACGAGAAGGTGAGTAGGAACACGCAGACCAGCAGCCAGGTGCGTGTGAATAAGAATCTGCTGCTGAAGCTCCTGCAATTAGCCAACCGATGAACAAACGAGGTTTATCGACGGCGTCACCGGAGCTGATACCTCGTCGATTTCTGCCCGATTCTGCTCTGTTTTCATCGCCATCCTCAGCACGGTCATTGTGGCTTCATCAGCCTTCCGTGGCCTTAATCTTCTCCCTAAATATGCACCACGAGTAAAACAAACTCAGTACTAGAAGATGAAAAAAGATGCAGCAGTTTTCAAAATATGAAAAATCTCGATTTAAAACGGTGAGATTGATGACTCTATGTAAAAAGGTCAAAGTAGATAATATTTATTAATAGTGAGATCGGGATATAACATGCGTCCAATCAAATCTAACGGAGGATGACATGCCCCATGAGATCTCAATGATACTGTACCATGTCCTATAACCGCTAATCGGTTGGACTAAAATGGGTGTCTCTTGGGACGAAATGCAAGAAATACCGACAAGTCGACCCAATGCACAAGGACTTCATTAAGAGACAGCTATACTCATTATCCCACGAGAAAAAATATATTTATTTATTCAGTAAATAAGTTATATATATATATAATCGGGGACAAGATAATTTTCATATCCAGTCTCGTTTTCTCTCTTTTCCATTATCGATTTAAATAAGTTGGATTGTGAATCAGGGTAGCTTGACCCATAGATATCTTTAATTCCAACTTTAATTCCAACCTATTTTAACTTAGACCCATAGGTTGGAATTAAAGAGATTAAATTTGTAATCGTTCTTTTAATTTTCGTCCAAAGAAAGGCTCTCATCTCAATTTCTCAAGGAACTCGACAATACGGCCATGGAGACCAATCCCGCCGCCGCCGTCGTCGACGTTAGCAGTACCCCAAGCGTTCCGCCGGAGAAACGGAACCGTTCTATCTTCAACGTCCCGCCGGACTTATTCGCTTCCTGCAAACTCCTTCGTTCTCCACATTCATACACCTCATCAACCAGCGGCAGCTACAGCTCAAGCGCAGAAAATCCAGTCGATTCGGAGCAGAATTCTAGGGATTTCAAAGAAAGTTCCGTTGCCCAAAGATGGACCTGCAACACATGCAAGGCCGAGTTCGAATCCCTCCTCGACCAGCGTTCGCACTTCAAATCCGACCTCCACCGGTTCAATGTAAACTTTGCTGGTTCTTCTGCTTGCTATTTGAATTGCAGTTTTTCCCCTATTGAACAAGTTGACTGAGTAGAGTGTTTTGTAAATTTGATTATCGTGTCTGGGAATGAACTCTGGACCATCAACGTTTTGTTTCCCCTTAAATCGTTCAGGTTTTTACTCGTCGGAATCAAAATTGGGTTAATAGTTGATTCATTGACGATTTGATTAATTATGGAATTAGAAACAATATCTGCTCTGGTTTAGCCAAAACGGAGCCTGAATTTTTCAGGAAAGTTTATTTTAAATCTCAACTTGTTAATATAATTCATCTAATCCAAGACAAAACAAGAGTAATTGTCCCTCATTTCTAATTCGTTCCATCCCTCTAGTTAGAATTGAGTCCCTCTTTTCTTCCTGCTCTCAATTTAACCATCGGGTTCAACGATTTGTCTTAAATGTTCATAGCAATTAAGCTGAATTCTTTGTTGACATGTTTGATGAAGTGAATGATTTCTTGTTTTCTTCGTTTTCGAAGTATTTACTGTGCTATAACTAAATATTAGGTGAAGCTAAGCATTGCTGGCAAGAATATTGTGAAGGAGGATGATTTTGATGAGCTGACATCTGATTCTTTCAGAGACTTTGATGTGTCAAGTATTTCTGGATCAGAGGACGAAACAGAGAAGGAGATTTACCCTCGTAATGAAGGGTCTAAGGTAACAAATGATAGTGTGAACAAGAAGAAGTTGTTCGTTCATCTTCAAACAGGTGAAAGAGTTTCGGTTTGGAAGTGTTTGCTCATAAATGAGTTGGATAGTATTTCGTATGAGGATGATAAAACATCGGTTGGCGGTAATGGTATTCATTCACAAAATCTTAGAGAGAATGAAGTCATAGCGAGATTGAAATATCTAAATCACGAGCCAAGAGATGGCACCCATTTGCGGATAGTGTTGCTTGCAAGTGGTGGGCACTTCGCCGGTTGTGTTTTCGACGGGAACTCGGTTGTGGCTCATAAAACCTTTCACAGGTTGGAAATCTCTTCTTTATTAGCTCTTCACTTCTAATAGTTTCCAGTCTGTTTCTTTCGATCGTGCAGTCAACAATGAAAACAGACATATCAAACGTAACCTATGATACTTTTGTTCTTACTTGTAACCCTGGCCCTTAAATTAGTAATGCTGCTATTATCAAAAGACATTTATATTCTGAATTTCCATTTGGTTTTTGGTGCTTGTTGTGCGTGCTTTCCTTACATGAGATATAAACCTTCTTATTATGTAGATATGTAGTGAGAGCCAAGTCTGGAAAGAAGCAGTCATCAAAAGATGCAAGTGGCAAAACGATCAGTTCTGCCGGGGCTTCTCTTCGTCGTCATAATGAACTCGCGTTGAAGAAGGTGTAATATAGTTTATTGATGACTACAAAATGCCTCGACTCATGCATTCCTCTTTTCTTCCTCTTTTTTTAGCTTAATATTCATTTTCACACCCATGAATTCCTATGATTTCACAATTGAATTCAATAACTTGATGCAAACGGTTTCTCTTTTGAAGATAGGTAGGCTTTATGGGCGAAACCGTTTTGAAGATACTTTTTATGTTCTTGTTTCATATAAAGTTAATGTCCGCAATGAACCCAATCTTCTTTTTTTCCCGAGTGAAACCGATGAACCCAATCTTTTGTTTCGAACGCTTATTTAATTTTTATACCATGTTTGTGACAGGATCACGTTTTGTTTAAATTGGCTTCTGAACTGTAATTGTTGATCTTGTAGGAAATTCAAGATCTCCTAGCTGCTTGGAAGTCCTATTTTAATGCTTCTTCTTGCGTTTATATTTATGCTCCTTCAAACAACCGGCAATTACTTTTTAATGGGGATAAGCCATATTTTAGCGATCAGCGTTCTGCTGTTCGGAATATTCCTTTGACTGTTCGAAGGCCTACGTTAAAAGAAGCTCGACGTGTTTATGAACAATTGGTGCAAGTAGCATATGAAGTAGAAGATAAGGAAGTATTGTCCACCAGTGGGCACAATTCACCATCAAGTGTAGTTACAACAGACAATGGCACCCAAGATATTGGTGAACCGAAAGTTATTGGAGACTTGGAAAAGGATGCTTGTACACATCTTGAAGAACCTGTTGAACATCCAATAACTAGAGAGAGTGAAAGTGAAAGTACTTGTATAACTACACCTCTGCATGAAGCATCACAGACTGGAAATGCAGATAAGGTTTTGGAACTCCTTGAACAGGGTCTTGATCCTTGCGCCAAAGACGAACGAGGACGGACTCCTTACATGCTAGCAACTGAAAAGGAAGTCCGAAATAGCTTCAGAAGGTTCATGGCTTCAAACCTTGATAAGTGGGATTGGAATGCTGCTAAAGTTCCGAGCGCGCTAACCAAGGAAATGGAGGAATCACAAGCTGCTAAGCAGGTTACTTAAAACTGTTCTTCCTGCTGTTTGATATGACTCTATATAGTATAGATACATATATCTTGTGTTTTAGCTTCTCCTATTTGAAATACGTCAAGAAGTCCCCTCGTGCTGTTGAAATAGATTGGTTTTCGTTATTATTTAGAAACGTTGCAATGATGGTAAACTTGGTAAAGATTTCATGCTTTCGGGACTAAAAACTGTTCGATACTGTTCGATACGAGAACTAAGATATTTTGGCGCATCCATTGTTCTTCCTTTCACTTCTTAGACATTTGTTTGTTGGCTTGAAATGTTTATTCAGTTTTTCATGGAGATGAACCAATTTTTTTCCCTTTTTTGGGATTGTTTAGGCAGAAAAAGATGCCAAGCGAAAGGCACGAGCGAAGGAATTGAAGAAGTTAAAGAAAGAAAAGGCCAAGAAAGCACAGGTTTGCGTTTAATTGGTTTGTTTCTAATTTTATGTTGAAACTGGTTGAGACCCTAGTCTGTGCTCCTTTCTTGATTAAATGGTTATATTGGGAACTGATTTTCCATTGTTCCGAACGTTATCTTTCGTAACCGGGGTATCGGAAGTACAATTCCTTTCGTTATATTCCTGGCTCACTCCCTATTAACCTCCATGGTTCTGCACTGCAAGGCCAATGCGGACGACAAAGAGGGTTTTAAGTTATTAAGTTTTCGGCCTAGGCCGGGAACCCAAAACCTTTATAAACATCTCACGTCGACACCGTGTTCTGAAGCCTTTAGAGACCTCAAGGATTATGAATAATATCCAAACTGAATTTCAACGTCTCGTTACTCATTCGGATTCTTGCCTTTTCTGTCCTTGTTGTTTGAGCTGTGTGCTGAATATTGCTGGCAGGCCGAGGCCGAGGCTGCCGAATCTCAAAAAGCTGCGAAGGCGGAACACGGCAGAGGAATCGGCTCTATTTTGAATACTCGAGCTGAATCAACCAGTGGAAAACTGATTACCAAAGAGGTAACTCTTTAAGCTGTTTGAATTGAACCAGCAAGAGGCTGGCGTACATGTTTGTGAAAATTGGATCATAGTGTTCTTCAATACCATCCTTTGAGCGTGGCTCCCAAATAGACTTAAACGAGTCTTTCCTACCCGATATTTTACTAATCTCTGCAACGATCTACAGATGGTACAGGCTGCCGAGCGTGAAAAGAGAGCAGCAGCTGCCGAGAGGAGAATCGCAGCCATGGCTGCAGCTGCAGCCACCAATGGTTCCTCGTCGACTATTCCAAACAGCTCACAGACTAAAACCGGGTTAGCCGGGGACATCAACTGTTCCTGTTGCGGTACGTCGCTAGCTGGTAAGGTTCCTTTCCACCGGTACAACTATAAATATTGTAGCTCAACATGCATGCATGTACACAAAGAGGTCCTTGAAGAAAACTAGCGTGGATTATTATGAGGTTGATACTCCTTTTACTTCATATCACACCATTTTTTTCCTCCTGTTCATCTGAAATGCTTGAAGAACAATGTCAGATTATTTGAAAGTTTCAATTATATCTGCTTCTCTCCATTTGGTTTGCTTGTGTTCATCCAATTGTTGATGTTAAGATTAAAGCTTCAATTTAGATCAGAAAATTTTAATTTTTTCTTGTACTTGTTGGAACTTTGGAGTGTGGAACCTCTTTGGCATGGTAGAACAGAAATGAGAAAGCTCTACTGAAATATGTGGTTTGGACGGATTTTTTTTTATCGGAATTACTTTCAAACATGTTTTTGATCGTTTAAAATCCACTTAGTGTTTGATTTTATACTTTCGCACCATAAAAGTTGATTTTGCATAGTTGATAGTATGTTTATGAGTGATTTTGGAATAGTTAATTATGTTTGTTGTGCTGAAAATCGGTGAGATCTCGCATCGGTTGGAGAGGGGAACGAAGCATTTCTTATAAGGATGTGAAAACCTCTCCCTAGTAGACACATTTCAAAATTGTGAGGCTGATTACGATACCTAACAGGACAAAGCGGATAATATTTGTTAGAGGTGGGCTTGGGATGTTACAAAACTACTCTCAAACATGTTTTTAATTATTTGAAAACAATTTGGACGATATGAATTAAAAAGCATGTTTTAGAACAAGTTTAAATATGATAAAACTTATTTTAATCATTTCAAAATCACGAATGAAAAGTTTGTGTTTAAATGTCTTTGTTCAGATTTATTTCAGTCAAATATCATAGTCATCGTGACTGACGTTGTAGGTTATTCTCATGTTGATTCTTAGTCCAATATATATAATATACTTTTAATTTATAATTACGAGTATTTGTTAAGCGTAATTTTAATAATTTACCATTTTTTTCCGACTTTATTTATTTTTTGTTTTTTAGCAGACTAATTTCATTTACAGGAATTAATCGACACATTTTACGCTAATTTTAATATGGTATTAACGATAAAAAAAATAATTCTAAATTATTTAAAAAATGGAAAGGTATTATTTAAATTATTTAAATGTGTTTTTGAAATATGATATTAACAATAAAAAATAATTTTAAATTATTTAAAAAAAATTGGAGGGTATCAATTAAATAAAAAATATTTAAAAGTCGACATTTTTGGTTTAAAATACCAAGTTTACGAAGTTTATGATTATATATTTATTTTTATTAATTTAACTTACTTGATAATTAATATATATATATATATATATTTGGAAAACCGAATTCCGCACGCTCGCGGGGCGGATCTGAAAATGGTGGGTATTATTCTCTCTCTTCGTCATTTGATCGAACACCTTGGCTTCTTTTTCTTTCAGCTGCCCATCCATGGAGGAATTTCATTTTGTGCCTCTGATTTTCCTTTTTCCATTTGTGTTCACAGTCTGTTACTTTGCACACAAATCTCGGCGACATCAAGTGCGAGATTTTTTGTGATGAAGTCCCGAAATCTGCCGAGGCAAGTTCATCGCTCGTCTCCTCTATCTTCTGTTGTTAAGTTTACTCCATGTTTCATGGATGTTCTTGTTTAGGTTGGAAGTTATTGCTTACTGATAAGTGATAATTTGTTTTTCTCGTCCTTTTGTATCCACAAAGTTGATCGGATTCTTCTTTAACTCTGGTGATGATTAGACGTGGAGAGAACTTAATTCATCGAGATGCACTGTATGCTCGAGGAGCTAGGTTGCAATTTTTTGTGAAAGCTTCGTTGATTAGTTTTTGCAACTACTGCATTTTCATTTAATTGGAATTTCTACGAAACCTCGAGCGCGCAGTTTTTGCTAGTTGCTAGAGTTTTATGGCTTGTCATTTTTCTTTAGTTTCACTTTCACGGTGGGGGTAGATGATAGAACTAAGAAATACTACTGGTACCTGTAAGTAGTTTCTGGTCAAATGGTTTCATTGAGATTAAGCTAACGCCTAATTGACTTCTGTTGACATACGTCAGTAATGAAAGTTAGTGTGCTTTCTCCTTCGTTGTTCCAAATGAATGGAAGATTCTGAAGTTCACTTAACCTGAGACGTTATTAGATAACTCCCATTGGTCTTAGATAATGCATTAGTTTATCATGTTTTTTGGATTGGCTTGGAAAATAGAGAGGTAGCAAAGTTTTGGGTATGGATATTTTCCACATGATAAGTGTCAATAACGTTGGATTTGCAAAGCTAGAGGTCCTTCTAAGATGCTTGTAAACTTTCACAAATAACGCTAACTTAACGAATGATTTTAACCAAGAGCCGGATAGAACGATGAATAACTCTTAGATCGAACTTTAAATTTATAATGGTCACTCTTAGATCCCAAGACGACTCACTCCAGAATTAGCTTGATCAAGACTAATCCAATAATCGGTATTACTTCAAACCTAAACCAAGATTTGTAAAAGAAAGATAACACCAAAAAGCCTCTTGACTCTTCTTTGTCTTGCTTCTTGTAATTGTTCATTCGGGTACATGCAATGGATTAGTGGTTGGATTCATATCGGAGGTATTGAGCTGTAGACATCCGAAGGATATCTTTTTTAAGGCCAATGTATATTTGCATTCATGAGAACTGGAGAGTTGTCAATCCCCTCTTTCAGTTTTTTTTTTTTTTTTTTTCTTTTGTAGCACAAGAAGCTGTTTGCCATTTTCCGAACAGTTTTTTCCTTTGCATGTTTATTTGCAGCTGAGCTTGTTATCCTATAAGGTCATCTTTCTTTTGTACGTGGAAAAATGTTTTAACGTAAGAGTGACCAGAAAATATTGGCTAGAATTCTGCTTCTGCCCATCTTCTGTCTGCTGGATTATTGTTATTTGCAATGTTCATACTGACACTAATGTTTTATTGGTTATAGAACTTTTTGGCACTATGTGCTAGTGGCTACTATGATGGAACCATATTCCACCGAAACATCAAAGGTTTTATGATACAAGGTGGAGATCCAACAGGCACGGGAAAAGGAGGAACCAGCATATGGGGCAAAAAGTTCAATGACGAGATAAGAGAGTCGCTCAAGGTATGTAATATGATATGCATCATGTCATGTAGCAGTTTACTAAACTCGAGACGCTTATTTAATGAAAATTTGCATCCCTAACCATGCTGGTGAAGCTGAGATCCAAAGTGGAAATTCAAGAAGCCTTCCTATCCTAAGCTGTTTATATGTTAGAATCTGATTCTTATTCTAAAAGGTTCTTTCTGTTGTGGTTCTATAGCACAATGCAAGAGGGATATTATCAATGGCTAATAGTGGAGCAAATACGAATGGAAGCCAATTTTTTATAACTTACGCAAAGCAGCCACATCTGAATGGATTATACACTGTGTTCGGCAGAGTGATTCATGGGTTTGAAGTACTTGATATCATGGAAAAGGTATGATTTTTGTTTCAATAATACTCCTAGACTTTAAAAAGTTTAAAAAATAACTTCTATTTTTTAACAAAAAGTTCAGAAAAATAATCTTTCGATTAAATTTGAATAGAAAACGTTAACAATTTGTCTCATTAATACATATGAACTTTAAAAGGTTTCAAAAATACTTTTACCATTAAGTTTTGGATGAAAAATGCCGAAGTTTCATTGATACATTAAGCCTTTAATTGTATTCATAAGATGCAATTTTTACATTTTTGTTCATGACTTATGAATGTTAATCTTGGTTGTGTAATTAATTGAATAGTTGGTATTGTTCTCCATCTTTTATTCTATGTTTTTATGTTATTTTGATCTTATTCATCTTTTTATTTCTTTCTCTAAATAAAATTTGGTGATTGTATTTGTGCTAATTAAGTGAGCGGATGATACTCTGACATTCTTACATTATATTAATTAAAACTTAGATCGGTATTGCATTGAATAATTTTACACTACACGAACGAAGAGAAAGTCATTGGTATTTCATTTAAAACACAATGGTATTTTTAAAGATTAGGGGGTATTTATACATGTTCAGCTGATATATGTGCACAGCTTTGCATTTAGCTTGTTGGGTATGATCTGAAGTGCGACTAGCATAGTCTTTAGGTAGCGAATTACTGTTTTTTCATCGCATCTGTTTAAATTCTTAGCATCTGCATGAATGTCTTGCTGATGTATAGCTTGGTGCAGACACAAACTGGGTCGGGAGATCGTCCTCTCGCCGAGATCAGGCTCAATCGGGTAACGATACATGCTAATCCTCTTGCAGGTTAACCTTCAATTAGCAGTAGCTAGCTAAAATCAACATTCGATGAAAGTCTCATTATGCAAAGCTCTGCTAATCTGAGAGGTTCAAAATACAGAATTAGAAGTAAACCTTACAAAACTAACAGAGAACGGGCTTGCAGAGGTACTTTTGAATTTGCAAATATTGTTAACTTTATGTATATTTATTTAAGGTTAAATTATGAATTCGGTCTCAGAAACCTAAAATTTAGTCTATTTAAGGTTAACTTTTGTGCATCGATTTTAGATATATGTAAATATCTGAGCTTTCATTTTCTTGTTACCGGTGAATGATTAATACTGTGTAATATATAAGATATTGATGCATATGAAACTAGGAAGTTGTTCCACAGCCCAACCTCTCCGCCCGTAAATATTTTCTCTTTAGGTCTTCCCTCTTAAGCTTCTCTTCAAAGTCTATTATGAAGATGTTTCTACACTCTTATAAGAAATGTTTCGTTCTCCTCTTCAATCGATGTGGGATCTCATAATTCACGCTCTTTGAAGGTCAGCGTCCTCGCTGGCACACTGCTCGATACCTAGTTCTAATACCATTTGTAATTGCTCAAGCTCACTGCTAGCCGATATTGTCTTTAGACTTTCCCTTCTAGGCTTCCCCTCAAGGTCTTAAAATGCGTCTACTAGGAAAGTTTCCATACTCTTATAAGAAATGTTTCGTTCTCCTCTCCAATTAATATGTGATCTTACAATCTATCCCCCTGTAGCAGCCCCAAGTCCACCTTTAGAAAATATTGTCCGCTTTGGCCTGCCATTAGCCTCACAGTTTTAAACGCTTCTACTAGAGAGATATTTCCATAGCTCTATAAGGAACGTTTTGTTTTCTTCTCCAATCGATGTAGATCTCACACATCATGTTCTTGAAAACATTTAAACAACAGCCTTCAGCCTCCGCTTTATGAACCGAACCGAACCGAACCTATGGCAATTTATATATATAGTATATCAGCCAGTTTATCTTTTTGTATTTTTGATAGAAGTGGAGGGTGAGATCCAAGAAGTGGTTCAATCATTGCTTCATTGAAACTCATATTCGGAAGCATAATAATACCCAAAGAGCAGTGGGAGGTGAGGTGGCACCTAATCCTCTTGGATTGGCTTTCCTCGTTGTCACAGGTATTTGACTTCTCACTCATCCCACTTCATCTTCAACTAATTATGGCTTCCCAATTGTCTTCAAACCTTTATCATCTTATGGACTTTTGCTTCAAATAATAATTATTACTTTTATTTATCATATCTAATTTAATATCACATTTGGGTTTATTTATTATTATTATTATTATTTTCCTTTCCCCAACTTCTATTGAAAAAATTAATCTATGAAATTAAATTTTTTTTAAAAAAATTAGATTAAAATGCTGTTTTGGTTCGTGTATTTCGAGTTTGATTGGTATCTGAACTTTAAGAGTGTCTAAAATTTAATTCTTATACTTTCATTTAAACTTAAAATTGGTTTTATAAACTTAGAAAACATGTTTATATGGTGAAAAAATATTATTAACCAATTTTAATTTGAAAGTTTATTAAAGTATTTTGATTAAAATATTTAACCGTAAGTTTATTTTGAAAAAATTAAAAAAAGAAAAAAATTAAATTTGTGAAAGTAAAGTAAAGTAGAAGTGGTGAATGGGTTTGGTTGTTTTGCAAAACAATAATGGAAAATTGAGTTTGGGAGTTTTGGATTCGATTCCTGTGGACTTAAGTGAACTGACGGCCCAATCCTTTGACAAAAGGACATTCACTTTTAAAATTTTGCACAAATGCCCTTTTACATTATGTTTTTATCAAATTAACCCTTTTATATTGGATAATTATGGTTAAGGTTATATGCTATATTTAATCAAAATATAAATATTGTATTTGTTGTTTACTAAATTTTGGTGGGTTAGGCACCCAATCTTTGCATAACGGGTTTCGAGAATTTGAGTGAAATAAAAGAGGTTGAAACGAGGAAAATCTTATTTTCTAGAGAAAAATGATATTTATATGATACCATTTATAGTTTTTTATATTTTTTTTGTAAATTAAGTTAAACATGAACTAGATCGGATTGAATTAGAAGGCTACGAGTCCAGGACATGTGCTAGCCAACCATAGGGTTGAGGTCGAGGCCTAGGGCAAAAAAATTGGGTCTTTTCTCCTTTACCATAAGGTTGATCGAATATGTTCAAATTATCTTAAAAATAATTTTTAAACCGTAAGTTTTGTGTGATCATAAATTTTTTGGAAAAAAAAAAGCTCATAATTTAGCATAACGGTTGCAATGCACTTGAAGGTGCAAAGCAATTAAAATGTACCTAAAATATACCCCAAAAAAATTTAATAAAATAATGAAGGGGCATTTTGGTAATTTCACAACACTACATTTTTATTTTTTATTTTTATTTTTTTAGAAAGGTTCACGTGGTTGATACATTCATTATGGTTGGGGAAAAAAATTTCATAAGAGATATTATTGTAAATTGGATAAGAAGTGCAATGATGAAAATAGATGAGATGATGATTATGAAGAAGAAATAAAGAAAATTAGGAAAATTAATTTTTTTTAAATAATAAAAAATAAAATTTGATTTTTAAAAAAATTAAAAAAAATTGTAACAATGTTATGGGCAATTGGGAGTTGATAATTGAATTGTATAAAATAAAATAAAATTTGATTTTTAAAAAAGAAAAAAAATTGTAACAATCTTATGTGCAATGAGTAGATAATTGAATATATATATATATATATTCACCTTGCTTGGTAACCCTAATTCAATTTAATTAATTTTACAAATTTTCATGTTAAATTTGCCCCTTTTTTTTAATTATTATTGCAATTTTACGGATTGGATCGGTGTTCACGAGTTGAGTTTATGTTTTTTAATTTGAACATGTTCGAGTTCTAAACTATTCAAATATATATGTATTTGTTATATTATAAACTTTGTCCTTAAAATTTTTAAAAAAAGTCTCGTTTGAATGATCTGTGAAGTATCTAATAATTTTTTAAAATTTTAACGTGTAATAAGTTTATTTATTTATTTGAAAGGTTTAAAAAGCTGTTCTAAATTTTTAATTTTTTTTTAAAAAAGGTCACAGTCATTAAAGAGTTTTAAAAGGGGTTTGAATTATTTGTGAATCTAATAATTTTTTAAAATTTTAATTTTACGTTTATTTTCAATTTAAAAAAAATAAATTAGAGAGACAAAAAAAATTAAAACCCTTATTAAATATTAGACGCTCTTTATAATTTCATGTCCATAAATTGCTCTTATTCAAATATAATTTTGGTTCATTCAAGCTCATATACATATTTTATTATTTTATTTTATAAAAAAATTAATAAAACTCGACTTGTGGGTCTTTATGATTATAAATGTCCAGGGAATTCTAATGAAATTTTATTATTTAAAAAAAAAAAAAAAAAAAAAAAAACCTTTCGTTGTCTGCTTGTGTTGTATTACGACTTTTGTCCTCTAATTTTTCTTTTATCCTTTTTGCAATATATGTAAACTAATTTAAAAGAAAAAAAAAATTAAATAGACGATTTTATTAAAAAAAAAAAAATTATATATTAATTTTCAACTAATCAGTTATTGGCATATTTTGTAATTTCTTTTTATATTTAGTAAATAATATTTAACACATCTTTGAAATTAAATAATATAACAAATTATTTGTTATTTTAATAATAATAATAATTTAATATTCAATATATCTCTAACTTTCAAAATCCTATAATAAAATTTTTGAATTCTTAAATTTCAAATATTAGTTATTTTTAAAAAATTTCAAATTTGTTAGACACACCATTGTTATTAAATATAACCTTTATTTCATATCCAATAAATTAATTATATCTTCTAAATTTAATATAAAACTATTTAACACAGATTTAGCCTGATAATATAAATATATATATATATATATAATTTAGTTCCTATAATTTAAAACTTAAATCAATTCTTATAATTGGATAAAAAATTTCACCAAAAATATTTACGAGAATTTATCAAACAAAGAAATTAATTATAATATTTAAAATGGCACGAGATTAAATTCTAAATTCCTTCCAATAAATTTAAATCTTAAATTTTCTTTAAAACTATGATGTAAATAATTGAAGTGAATGGATATACATGCAAAAATTAAAAATAAAAATAAAAATAAATAAAAAGCTAGAGAATATTCTCCTTTCTTTTTTTTTTTTTGATGATGGTTTTTTATTTTTTATTTTTTTGGGAAAAAAATGATAAAAACTTAGTAATAAAGTTAATTAAAATTGGAAAATGATGGTATAGGTGATATGTAGGGATTGAATGAACGTGTGAGGTTGGCTTAGCTAATTTCCACACTTTTTTTTTTTTCATATAAAACACAAAATTCATTTATTTTATTTATTTATTATTGGTTAATTCATAAGAATATATTTTTGTATCTACGTATAATATATAGTATAGTTTATTTTTCATTAATGAAGCGTGACTTTAGTATTACCGGACCTCATTTTATTGACTACAAATACTTACTTTTGTTTTTTCATCAAATAAAATATTTTTTTTTATTAATAAAAAATCCTTCGATGTGTTTAGTCAATTCGAAAATATGCTTCAACTTTTAATAGAAGATTTTCTTATCTTGTTTTTTTTTACGTTCGGTGATTAGGGTTTTTATTTTTAATATCAATAGTCGATGGATTGTAAATTCAATATCAATAGTCTCCTGGTTAGCATTGTGTAAAGTTAAAACATCCTCAAAACTAGAGTTAAATAATAATTTTTTTCAAAAAACCTAGAATTAATAATAAAAATTGATACGAGAAAACATATGATTAAGAAATACGTAAAAAAAAATGGATAATTACTGTTTATACCAATAAATATTTTTTTACTGTCTCAACGATGAAAACTAAAAAATTAAATACGGTTTGCATAGATTGGGTGGCTATTTTATTTAAGAAGAGTGAGGACAAAACATTCTAAAATGACTCGGATTAGTTTCTAAGCTTAAACTTTTATTTGTGTTAAATGAGTAACTTTTAAAAATATTTAATAAGTGTTTTATTTACAAACTATTTAATAAATTTAATAAAAATTTATTTATATCTAATCAATTCATAAATTTAAATATAAAATTTAGAATTTAAATGTTTTAATAAAAAAATCAATTTTATAATTAATAGAATTATATTTTAAAAAATATATTAAACATATTCGATCATATTATATATAAAATTAAAAATTTTAGGGGTATATATATATATATATATGTATATATGATGTGTGGAATCAAAAGGTTTGGGGGAGAAATTTGTCCGTCTCTCTCTGATCATCTTCTAGTTCTGAATTGTTCGTCATCTTTGCCTCTTTGCCATCATGATTCCTAC